AGTGGGAGATTGTTGGAATTTCTAACAATTTATGGGTCACAAATATAATTCTATAATTGTGTTATAGCCATTATGTATTTAGCCAATATATATAAAATGGTCTTATGAATTAATTTGGTGGCTAAGGGCATATGTGTCATGAAATATTATGAGTGTAGATACCTTCGGGCAATTTCTAATTTGATGAAGGGACTGAATTAGAATATTGCAACTTAAGTGGTAACCGTTAGTGTTACCTTTATGGGTTATGGTCCCCAGTTGCAGAGCAACGGGTTTTATTGAGTAACTGATGTTATAAGGATATATAAAGGAAAAGAGAAAGGCATAAGGTTAAGCCAAGCTCTCACTTTTCACTAAGGCATTCAGAACATCAGGAGCACTCACGTTCTCTCTGGATTCCCCTCTAGCAGAGCGAACGGAAAACCATCAGGCTCTAGCAACCGGAACATCCTACAACCCACATACCTCGGAGCATTCGGAATGGCAAACCAAAGTATGCGTTTTCTTCTTCACTATGAAACCAATTGGGGTTTTGTTCGGTCTGGATTAGGATTGTTCCATAAGGGTTTATGTATGGGCATAAACATTTGGTTTCGGAACAATGTCCTAATCATTCGGTTTCAGGGATACGATTAGGATTAATCGGTAATATCCATCACAAAGATGTTCGATCCGGTAATATTATCTACGAACATATTAGGAAGCGTATTAAAATTGTTGTTTAGGTAGCTTGAAACAATTCTAAATGATACGAAATAATATTTATTGGTTAGGTCATGACCAGGATAATCTCTTTAAGACGTTTCGTGGAACTGCCCAAAATGTGCAAGTAGACTATCAATCAAGTCGTCCTCATGATAAAAAATTCTCTATTATCAAATTCTTAGTGCAATGTAAGAACGGATATTGAATACATTCACCACAATATGGTTACTAGTGACAATTCTCGAAATTCTCACAGTATGGCTACTCGTGCCAATTCTTTTCCCACAATCCGAGTACATGTGTCAATTCTCAAAATTTCTATAATTTGACTACTTATGTCAATTCTAGTATCACGGAAATAAAGAGGAATAAGTATGCCGGAAATACGTCGGCAATGGAGGAGAAAGAAGAAGTTCAGTAACAACGTACTCAACCTGAGACAAGAAAGTATGCGGGGAAGAGACTTGTGAGTTGTTTTCAAAAAAAAAATTCATGCGTGGAACTTGTGAGTTTTTTATTTCATACCCAAAAGTCTCCATTAATAGTCTGAAACAAAACAAGTTCTAACACAATTATTCTTCTCTTATTTCGCATTATTGTGCAGAAAAAATAATTGTGAAGCAATGTGTAGTGAAAAATAGAAGAATATAATAAAATTAAAATAATATCATTTTCATTATAAAAAAAACAATGATTTTCTTTATTTATCTAAAAAGGCGAAACTTATATCGAAAAATGGTAGTAATATTTATTTTACATAACTAAATGATTAAAAACAAAATTCCATGATTAACAAACTCATATATCCTTTTAAAAAATGAACATCTTATCTTATCTTTTATGTTTTCATATCTTCTTAAAATTATTATTCTATATATACATATAAAAGTTTGCTAACATGGGTAACCTCCTTTCTTAATAATTAGGAACATATGACAAATATATAATTTTTATTTTAGAGAGATAACAATACAAATTGGGACATTTTAATAACATTAATCTTAAAATTAAAAATAGCAATTTCTCTCCCATGTCACCCCACCCACCATCCCTCTTTCTCCATTCTCTGTCTATATAAATGTTCATTTCAAATTTTGGAAGTTAAAAAATAATACAAATGAGACACGTGTTTAGTACTCTCTATTTGCCAAATGCCAACCTTGGGTTATATAAAACTTAGAAGATATTTATTATTCCTAAATGGTGGGTGAAATCTCACTTGAAAATTGCATTATTTATATGTGCTTAGTTCTTAATTAACAACCATATGAATTCTCCTAATCAAAAAAACTCAAATTGTCTTTCCAGCAAAATAAAAAATCAAATCACAAGAGTTTGCATTTTTTTAAAACAAAACTAGCTTGTCAAACGACAAAACATTTGTCCACTAATCAAGAAGCAAAAATATAATACACCATCAATATACATGAGTATAGTTGTTTATGTTTTGCTAAAAGCACATTTTCTATTGTCTAACACTGTTTATTAATATGCATAGTTACCCACACTGGCTGCATATGGTGACTTATAAGTAGCAATGGTAAATTGGATGATGTACCTAGGTTTGCTTTTTATGGCTAACAATTTTTTTAAGGGAGTATATGTAATTTTAGTCTTTTTGTTCCCTTTGTCCTCGAGAATATCTCTATTAGATAATGTAAGCAGCTTGTAAAAAAAGATTCTAAACTCAAATAAATTGTGATGTGATGTAATTTAATCTCAAAAAAATTATAATATGATTTGTTCAACTTCATATAACAGATCGAAGTCTATTTATTTTCTCTTTTCAATTTCTTTTTATTTAGTTTTATGAATTTTTTATTTTTATACTTTTATTATTATTATTACTTCGTGTCTACCGACCCGCATTCTTATTTTATTATATTAAGTACTCAATTTTTATATATTTTATTTTACTCAATTAGAATGTTTTTGTATTGAAAGTACTTTATGTTAAAAAATGTATTTATTATAATGTTCAATTTAAGGTAAGATATGTGGTTAATGTGCTAATAGTAATTACCTAAGATTTTATGATTTTTTTGTATAAATTAAAAAAAGTAAGGACAAAATAAGTGATGAAAGTGAAACACAACCAAACTCTAGAGAAGTGACCAATAAGTAAACTTCCAAATATCAAAGATCTAGATGTGTAGAAGCTTATATATAATATATATTGTAACCCAAAAGATTTAGTGAATTGTACATTAATCCTAATTTTTAGTACTTTTCAACACTCTCAATGTATAATTAGTTAACTTTGTTAACAAATTCTTTTTCTCTTCTTCTTCATTGTATTTCTTTTATTCAATTATTTGTTTGCAGAACACTTAACCTTCACCGGTAAGGCATGTGCCAAGCCAACACCTCCAAATATTAATGTTTACAAACAATAATATGGATCTAAGCTTAATTTTTGAACCAATTATTTCATTTCAATTATTTGTACCCAGAAAAAATTATACAAATTTTTTAACAGACTAAGAACAATGAATGAGTCAGATGAAGACAGGTGTATTAATAATATCATGAAAGCCACAAAGCAGAAGCATCAAACTTGGAATATATGCTCAACAATGAACTCTGCTGTTGTACACTTCAACTGTCAACTGCTTTTAATTTACAGAAATACCATTATGATTTGCGGTGACACATCCTAAGATTCTTTAACAATGACAGTGTTAATTAGTAATCAATAATTGCAGCATACTCTTTAATATACACTATTCACTCTATTATCTTTTGTTATTGGATGGATTTCACTAAATAAATAATAACATAATATGATCATCCAATAATTTACTTTTTTTTTTGTTTTAGGAACAAATATTATACTGTATATTATGATTTGAAAAATGTATTACTAATATTTCTTTTTTGTTCTTACTATTTCTTTTTTATTCTATTAAGTGTAGTAGATTATATAGATTATCATTTATCATAAATTATATTCATTAACAATTAAAACACTTCATATTTCATTCAACTTGTTTGAATCATACTATTTACATCTTCATCAATTTCTTAATCATTTTGCAAATCTCCAATATCATATACAATTTTACTACTAATAAAGTATTAGTCTTGCAATGTAAGACTTCAGTAACCCTCATAAAGATCAAAATGTTAAAAGTTCAATAAGGTATAGTCATGGAAAAATATTTACTAATATAGTTGAGTGAAAGGATTGTGACTCAGGTCATCTATATAGAGGAATATTCGTATCTATGATCAGATATTCTAAACAAAGATTCTTATTAATCTTGTATTTTGATTTACAGTTTTTTCTAGTTAATTTCAGTTTTCAGATGACAATGAAAATTGTCGTTTATTAAAAAACAAAAGCAATTACGTTTGTACCAAGTTTCCTCCTTCCCGAGTAAAAGCACACCACGTTGTCCCATCAGACAGAGACCTATCCTTCAAGATTAAGACACTGCCTCTACAAGGGAATTAACCAAAAACCCTTTTTTTGTATTTAAGCCAAATTTGGTCATCATTTTAACAAAACGATATTTTTTATTAACTACACTCTTCTATAGATTATAATTTTAGCTAAAGACATACTCTTTTCTTAAAACCATTGTAGTTTTTTTTCAAGTATTCGTGAAGAATACTCAAGTTGCAACCTTTTAATGCTTATAATCTCATTATTTATTAGACTTCATTTATTGTTGAATAAGGATCGTCTATTTCTAACAATGTCCTCAAACCTGTCTCAAGTCAATCACATTTTAACAAGTAAGATAAACATATTATTTTTTGTTTTTTATTTATTTATGTGGCAATTTCTAATTGATTGGGACAAACTTGGGAACAACATATATTGGTTCTTTATTGTTGAGCAGTGAATTTTAATATAAGTTTTACAACTTCATAAAAACATTAGAGTAAACCATCAGCCCAAAGATCATATTTAATAATCAGCCCAAAGATCATATTTAATAATCTGAACCTTTCCAGATTACAGATCAATGGAGGTTTAAACTTAAGACCCTTGGGCTTGTAGTTATTTACAACTATGGTTTCAATGACTGTTAATCTAAGCAAAACTAAAAAACAACACTTTTACACTCCATTTATTGGACTTTGGAAAAAATTCATTCTCTTCGAAACTCCATTTAATCATCAAATTATCTTATAATTCCTTTTTTTATTTACCTTATAATCAAAATTTACATATATTGTAATGATTTCGCTAAAATTATGATCAAAATCCGTCATGGCTTGTGTGTACCTTAACATGTTGATCAACATGTATGAGATTAGCTTACAAGCTTCCCTAAAACAAAAGGCAGCCATGTAGATACAGTACCCATAAACACAGTAAGAGTAAGGGTACAACTATTTTTTTAAAGTAATTGTGTAAATAATGTATCATATTACCAATGACAATCCAAGTAGAAGCAGTGAAAGCATGCAAATAACCTGAAATATACATTTACTCAATCATTAAGATAGTGAAATAAAAAAATAACAAAACAGAACCTTGATGAGAATTGTATTGGTGAATAATTGCACAACATAAGATAATGAAAATGATGCTTACATTGGCTTCAATTGATCCCTATTCATAGCTGATGAATGTCATTGTCAAATGTCTTTGCATATTCTCTTGATCAAGCAGGGTAGAACTGGTTGGTTAGCATGCCACCTATATAGTTGTCTCACATAAATGACAACCATGTGAAATGATATAAGCCAAAAGCATAAGCAACTAACCACTTCTTAAAGTTGACAGCAAATTAATCATTTGATGGATCCGAGTACAGCTAGGACTTTCTGGATCTAATCTTTCGAGACTCGGATGATTAAACTGGTTGGAATCTGGTCAGTTCCGAGATGACTAGATCCAATCAAATCACAAAGATGGGGACATTCGAAGACCCGCGTCTTCTTTTCCAAATAGGCCAGCATCATTTCCAATTTCCAAATGACTACTAAAATCAAGCCCCAACAGAAAAGAAACAACTCAACCCACACAAATTATCCCTCAACCACTCTGGAATAACAATACAACTTCAAGGCTGCACATGGCTGTGTCCACAATGGTGCTCTGAACTTTTTAAGCTCAACCTAACAGTGTTAGACCCCTACTATGATGCACTCTCAACATAGAAAAGTAATTGATAATTCCCCCAGTGTATACCGTATTTTCAGCAATATGAGATCAAAGGTTTAGTTAGCCGAGTTAACGATCTAATAAGCACTGAAGATAAATATGAACATAAGTAGATCAAAAGCATCCAGTTTAGACATAAAAAGATAGCAATATTAAATAATCATACCTGAGCAAGACCCTTAAGAAGTGAGCCAATACTTGGTATTGCATACCAATACATGTTTGGATATGTTGCTGAGTCTGAAAAGTGTATCACAGTTATTCATAAATACTCAGCCCAAAAAACATATAGACATACACACTTTATGGATAAAAATAAATATATGGTAAAGATAATCAAACATAAAACTACACTAGATTTGCATAAAGTAAATTAAAATGGTAGGAAAATTTGTGTTGACAAACATTACTAGAAGCTGTAAACTGCATATAATCATTGAGTAAACACCCACTTCAGTAATCCAATGATAGAGGTGACATTTTTTGCTCCTCCTAAAAAAGTACACATCACTTTGGTCCTCCAAAAAGGTTGTCATCAATTATCAGGACACAAAGCTGAGATCAATTTAGATACAAATGCCTGCCCATACACAGGACACCATGATTGAGGAACTAAATTGATGCCAAAATATCAACACTTCTTTTAAGGACTAAAATGCAGATTTATCACTGTTGAAATGGAGGGCTTTAGGTAGGAAAGAAAAAAGAGAAATAGAGACTCCTGGTCCTAACTAAATAGGAAACAAATAAGAGATTATGTATATGGGAAGAGGATTGTGGGGTAGATTGCATAGGAGGGGGATTGGGCTGACAACAGTAGTTTCAGCCAACTTATCATTGAGATTATGAAGAGCAATGGTGATGGCGTCATGTCTAGCATCTTGTTTTTCTTGATGCTGAGTTTCCCCATAAAAAGATGATTGACAGATTCATGGGATTCTTTTTGGGAATGTTTAGGAGGCATTTGAGTTCAATGAAAGACCAAAATGTTAGGACATTGGTTCTAAATAACTAAGAAATAGATAACATAACTTTGGAATTAGACTAAAGATAAGATTCTTGAAAGGTTTCATATTCATTTCTAATTGTAATACATAATAAATAGATGCAAAATATAACTGCTAAGTAATCTAGATCATACAAGCGGATGGATCTTAAAAGGGGAGTTTAAAACAGTTGTACAAATAATAAAAATAACTAAATTAATACATTGAATAATCCTTAAACTGCTTATTATTGGCCCTATCACATTCATGGTTTGAAACAACACTTGTTTATACACTTTGAAACTAAGGACATGGCCAATTAAGATTTTCCTTTAGGATTGAAGTAGCTTAATTAGAGGCTGCCATCCTTATCTCCTAGAGGAAGTATGTTCTAGACATTTTGGAAGAAACTGGGTTGCTACACTGTAAAGTGTAAACTAGTCCATAGTCCTATGGATACGAAGCACTTACACTAAATGCAACATAATCACAACTACAACTGCAATTTAAAACCATGGCCATATGAAATAGTTAATTCTTTATGTCATCTATATCTATACTATATATCTATATCTATACTTCTATACTATATATAAAGGCAAAACATGAAATAACTACCACCTTCCTATTTTGGCCTTACATTTTTTAATTTCTACAAAAAAACCCTATAATCTTAAGTAACTACCATTAGCACATTAACCATTTATCTCACTTTAAATTAAATTATAATAAATACATTTTTAACATAAAGTACTTTTAATACAAAAACATTCTAATTGTAAAAAATAAAATATATAAAAATTGAATACTTAATATAATAAAATAAGAATGCGGGTCTCGATACGCTAGTTCTTATAAATGCAAAATATATTTATTCTTTTGTGTATATAATAAATAGAGTATTTAGGTTTGTTCACTCAATCAAATTAGCTCCATTTCAATCTCAGTTAAAGGAAATATGAAAATAAGCATAACATTTAGGCTTCAAAATGTAGAAAAGGCTAAAGATAACCAATGTTTTATTCATTTCAGAAAACTGAATTTTGGTATATCAAGAAGAGATAACAACAGTATTATGAAGTTTAAGATACTATGATCTACTAGCTCCTGATGTTCAATTCCAGTTTCCAGATTCGAATCCCGAACATGAATTTTGAACCACCCAAAAAACTTCATATCCCCCTCCTTTCATTCTTTTAACAACATGATCTATCTATGCATAGACAGATACATTAAACATGCCAGTTCATTCAAAAAGGAAGACACTTCAGTAGCCCTCAAACAATGAACAACATGATCCACAATGCATTCATTCTTACATACTCTCAATTCTTAAATATGAAACAGACCTGGTTTAGGTAGTCATCCAAAAAACATTACAGCATGATCATCTTATCCAGTATTTAATTTAAAAAAGCACTTTGTCCCTCCTTAGAGTCGGAATGGTAATGTTGTTTGCTTAGTGACCATGAGGTCATGAGTTTCTCTGCTTGTGCTGCAAGGTTGCATACATCTACCCTCCCTTGACCCCACTGAGTCGGAGCCTCTCGTGTACTGGGCCCCATTAGTAACCATGAGGTCATAAGTTCAAATCTTGGAAACAGTCTTCTTGGCTCAATCAAAACCTGAAAACACCTGAAAAGGACAATGAATTAATTATTTATTAAGAAAAAACAAACACACAAACTAAGGAAACATTGTGAATGTGGGGAAATTGAGGTTGCATGATTCGAAGTGCAACAAGCGTATCAGGATTAGGTATTCTCTAATATCTGTTACCTTTCTAAAAGTAAAACCTGAAGTATTTGTGAATATAAAATCTATATAAAAATGTGTTCTAATGAGCTATATATATATATATATTATTACAATTGAGTCCAAGCCCCTAAACATTCATTTGGTAGAGTATAAAAAGAAAGAGGGGAGAGAAGTTGGGGAGAAATAGAATTTTTCTCCTTTTGGTTTAGGGGGAGTTTGAAGGGAGAGAAAGAAAAAGGGATGAGACTTATCAAATTTGTTTCTTCTCGAGGAGAAAATGAGAGGAGAAGAGAGACCAAGATCTATTGTCTCAAACTCTGTGTCAAATCATATCTCAGAGCAATGATATTAAAGCAAAAAAATAATAAATAATGAATATTATATTTTTTTAATTTACATGAATGTTTTCATTAATCCGGGAGACCGGGACAAAATTTGAAACATAATTTTGGACGACAAATCATTATTCATGGAAGAGTGAGGAAGAAACACTCATTTTTTTCTCTTCTTTTTCTATACAACCAAACAACACTAAAATTATTCTATTTCTCATCTCTTTCTATCTTTTTACTTTCTCTCTCAAATATTTCTTCATTCTTATTTTCTTATCTTCATGTTTTTCTTGCATCTTCCACCATTGCAAGACACATCATCATACATGATGCTTCTTTTATGACAAGATACTATAATAGATTTTTACCATCCTAATTCTCTTTCAATAGATTATAGTCATCAACTTCTTATTCACCAATAGATTTTTATTATCAAAGACTCCTTAGTATGTTCCCTTCTTTGAATATTATGATTCGATTTTTGTGAACGATATTTGTTGGAATGAACACTCATATATCTGAAGGTAATTAATTTCTTACTCGTAAGCCATAAGGTAAGAGGATACATTTCTTAGTACAAAAATAAATATTCCTCCATTGAAGTCTTAATAACATCCATTTCATTTAAGTGTATCGGTATTTTAAATTGCAGTTGTTATTTTGGTAACGGTTGTGGTTACTACAATTGTAGTTATTGCAATGCGGATTGTGGCCATTGCAATCTGAATTATTTTGTGATTAAAATAATATTTTTTAATCTAATGCGAGATCTAAATGCGGTTGCGTTGGGCCCGATGTGACCATATCATTGTTTCAAAGTCACACCGCAATTGCAGTGTGATGCGGTTGCGGCGATCACCACAACTACAATATTACGGGTACATAAGGTGATACGGTTCGCGATTTAAATCATTGAAGTGGAGAGTTCACATTTCCATCTCATCTTACTCACGACCCCCTCTTTAAAAGTTTTTTATATTTTCATTGACCCACTTCATTATTTTCAACATTTTTGCACTCAAAAGGAGAAAAGTAAATTTTTTTATTTAATGGTAGATACCAAATGACCTTTTTCATGGCCTTTTCCTAAGTGCCTCTTTTTTCACATCAGGGATTGAGTCCTAAGGCCTCCAATGGAGCATGTATATGTTTTAATTTCGAAGTGAATTTCACGTGAACATATCACATTCAATTGGATCTTTGATTTATGATTGGATGACAAATTGAAAACTTAATGTTGGTCGACCTTCAATCGGAGTGGGTAATAATACAATAAGGATTTGTTTGTCCCAAAATATATCCAAACTAATAAAAACACATCGTCAATTAAAAAACTTTTTTTTTTTCAATTTGTGGGGTAATGAGTAAGAATGGAAGGGTAAGCATTGAGATGAAATTTATAAAAATAAAAAATAAATAGGAATACACTTTTAATGGAGACAATACATTCATACACCAAAATACATGGTTTACAACTCATACCTTCTTTTATCAATACACATTCTCTCTTTATTATTTTGAAACTAGTAAGCCCTAGTATTTATTTTGTCCTTATTAAGGTATCTTTGATTCATACCCTTTGGAAGAAAAACTAGTTTCCTTTGAAGTATTATGGTACCTTGTATAATATACGAGAGTCTACTTTACATCAACTCTCTTTGGTTAGTATAAATTTTTTGATATATTATCCTAAAACACAACAACAATAATTAAGCATTTATCACACTAGGTGAGGTGATCGAAGTATATTATAATATTCTACCAATATTTTTCTATAGTTAATTTATGTGTATAGTGATCAAATTATATCTTAAATTGGGTAGTTGTGAAAATTAGATAACAGCATTATTTAATCATAAGATGATTTTTTAATATTTGAGCATGTTGTTAAAAAATAACTATTACATAATATATTTTGTTTGGATTGTGTTAATATACTACTTTAACATAGTAAATTTTGAAGAAAAAAGAGTATACTAAGATAAAAGTATTGCAAGTGACAAATAACCTTTCCCAAAATAATCAGCAATCCAAAAGAATGGATTATGCTTTTAGGTAAATTTTGACTAAAAACTTTTATTTTTGGCTTTTATTGTTTCTCAACTATTTATCCAAACATGTTATTAATTTGTCAATGATAATATCAGTGAGGGCCTGGATGCAACTATCTTCAGAAGGTCATGAGTTTGGGATTAAGGACAAAGATGGTCCAAATCAATCAAATTTTAATAAATAATATAAAAATATTACTTTTTTATTTTTAAAAGTTTTTATTTTAGTTATGTAACAATATTATTGGAATATGAAATAAGACACCATTAACAACCAATAATCCCATCATCTGATCAGATCTCTTAGTTTCTAAGTCATCCCATAAATATAATAATAATAATATTATTATATAATGTCATTTAGATTTTTAATGTTACAATTTCAATACCACTTTCAACCTCTGAACTCAAATGAACTGAGGTATGTACCTTCTTCAACCTTACACCCAGATCCATTTCTTACCTTCCCTTATTAATTTCTTGATTTAAATTGCCACCCACATTTTCAAAATCTTACCTTTACCCCACAAACTAATCAAAATCTCTTTTTTCTATGAACCCACTATCGGTGATGCGTTTTTAGTTTTTTTAGTTTTTCCCTTTTACCCATTTATTGCCACTTACATTAATTTGATATGTTTCTCTTCATTGTTTGGATTTTGCAATATTAACTTGACTCATTCTCTTTTTCATATTACTTACATATGGTTTTGCTCTTCATTATTGAGTGTTTCTTTCATTTATTGATGTTTGGTTAATGAGTTTTTTATTATTAAAAAAAAGAGTTAATTACACTGACATTCCTGAGTTTTAGTGAAATTACACATACCACCTCTCCCTTTTTTATATATATATATATATTACATTGACCACCCTGACGAGATATAAGTGTAATATTTTAAACAAAAAATGTGTGGTGAGTGTAATTAAGTTAAACAAAATATTATATATTTGGTAGAGAATTCCAAATAGTACAAAATTGAGTGTCTTTTTATTATTTATGTTTCATTACACAATATATTAACAATTATAATGAGATGTTTATGTAATACTTATACTATTTTGTAATGAACCAAATAACGAAAATGCATCGACTCTTATATTATTTGGATTTGTCTACCCAATATATAATATTTTGTTTAACTTAATTACATACTTCAAGTGATTTTTGTTTAAAATATTACACTTATATCTCATCAAGGATAGTCAGTGAGTGTAATGTGTGTACAAAATTATGGGTGGTTCGTGTAAGGACAAAAAATGGAGGGTTGATTTGTGTAATTTCACTAAAACTCAGGAGTGTTAGTGCAATTAACTCTAAAAAAAATGGTTTTTAGTTTGTGTTTGATACTATATGGTGTTTCCTTTTTGAGGGAATGTGCAACAGGTCCATAATGAGTGATATTGTCTAAAATTTTCAGTCATGATGGTGCTAGTGTTGTTTCATTGATTCCAATTTCAACTTTATGTGCAGTTCTTTGTTTAATGGTTCTCAACTGCATTACTTTGCTGCTTTGTGGAAATTGCCATTAAATTGACGGCGACGCCTTTGGTAAGTGAACTTTTAACTTAGTGAATGTGGTGAGAAAGTTAGGGGATTCTAATGTAGCTGAATAGTTGCTTTGCCATGTATGTTATAGATTTTTTTAATCTTATGCCGGGTGAAGTAATAGTGAAGTGTGATTTTTATGTAGTATCGGAAATGGCAAAAGGAAGAGCAGATGGGAACCAGAGAAAACGATTGGTCACAACTGTGTTGGTTTTGGTGATTGTTGGTTCTTTATTGTACCTGTTTTCTAAGAATATTGGCTCATCTTCTATTGAGTATGGTAGCAAATCTTTAAAAGACATTGGTTGGAAAGGGGATGAATCTTCCTCATTCACCGAAGGAGGAGATGATGGTGATGTTCCGAAGAACATTCCAGTGAGTTACCTATTTCAGTCTGAGCTGAACAATTTTTAAATTCATCATTGCAGCTAGCCTGAAATGTTAGTTTCTAACATGAAGCGTTCTAATTATTTGACCGTTCTGTTTACCTTTTGAAGGTATGTGATGATCGGCTCTCGGAGCTGATTCCCTGCCTAGATAGGAATCTCATATACCAAACAAGGTTGAAGCTTGATCTGACTTTGATGGAGCATTATGAGCGGCACTGCCCAATGCCTGAGAGACGTTATAATTGCCTGATTCCCCCTCCTCCAGGATATAAGGTGACACTCCTTTCTCCAGGCATTGCTTCTTACATGTAACTATATAAATTATCTACGCAATTATGCTTAAGCTTTTAGTGTCTTGTGTTGTTCTTGATAACAATAGATTCCAATCAAGTGGCCCAAAAGCAGAGATCAGGTATGGCAGGCAAATATACCTCATACCCATCTTGCAACTGAGAAATCTGACCAGAACTGGATGGTAGTAAAAGGTGAAAAGATCGTTTTTCCTGGTGGAGGAACTCACTTCCATTATGGTGCTGATAAATATATTGAGTTAATTGCCAATGTAAGATGGTGACTGTTATTTGAGTTGGGACTAAAATAATTACCAGACATAAAACTCTTTCTTACATGGAAAAATAACACCAGTTTCATTATTGGTATGATAGATGCTCAAGTTTCCAAACAATCATATAAACAATGGAGGACGACTCCGCAATGTTTTTGATGTTGGCTGTGGAGTTGCAAGCTTTGGTGGATATCTACTTTCTTCTGATGTATTAGCGA